AAAATACATGATTTGGGCCCCGTCGCCCTCCTGGTGCCCCACGAGGGCGTCCAGACGGCCCTAGATGGCCCCTGAACGGGCCAATGCGGCCCCAAGACGGCCCGACATTGCCCCAAGAGAACCCAAGAAACCCCGAGGATGGCCCAAGAGGGCCCCACGAACGCACACAACTGCGCCTCCAGAAACCCAGATCATCTCTTTTTTGATAAATAAACATATGATTTTAGCGTTCACGTTTTTTTCGGCCCTCAAAGGCCCACGACGGCCCAAACAGCTTGCAAAATGGCCGGTAAAAATCCCCAGCGGCTCTGAAGAGGGTATCGAAACGGCCCAAGAGGGCTCCAAAACGCCCCAAAGAGGCCCCCATAACGGTCCAAGAGGCTCCCCAAACGGCCCAACAGGACCCCAAGAACGACCCAAGGCGGCCGCGAGAGGCCCCCCAAAGGGCCTCCAAAAGGGGCGAAACGGCGCAAAATCGCTGCAAGACAGCCGAACACGCCCCCAAGAGGCCCCAAGAGGCCCCAAGAAACCCCCAAGAGGCCTCTAAAAAACCCACAAGAAGCTTCCAGGAGGCCTCAAAGCAGCCTCCAAAAAGGCCACACAACGACTGGACGGTAATGTACTTTTTCCCTCTGGGCGAACCGAGCTGCAGCGCCAGCCATGTGGGAATTTGTCACGGCGGCGCCCATGATTAGAGCCGGCTTTGAAGAGAGGAAATCCACGTCCGGAAGTGACGTGCTCAGCGGCAGCGTTTTCCGCGGATGCTGTAATGCAACGTATCCACGCATCACATAATTGCAAAATTTCTACACGTCTTCTTGTGTTACACGATTATGTCTCCCCCCTGACCCCCCCAGGGGCTACGCCACATCAGTCGACCCAACCTGGCGACCCCCTTTAGGGGCCCCAAGACCTACCAAAACCCATGCCGAATCTATGATTTCGGTTTCTTGGGCCTCTTGGGGGGCCACGAGGGCGCCAGGACGGCTCAAGATGGCCTCTGTGCAAGCCAAGACGGCCCAAGATCGCCCCAAGGGGGCCCAACAAGGCCCCAAGAAGGCCCAAAACGGCACCAAAAGGACCCTCAATAGCGCCTTCAGAAATCAAAATCTTTGATTTTCCCAGCGTTCCCGCCTATTTCGACTCTGAGAAGTCGAAGACTGCCGAAACAGCCTCCGAATGGCCCCCAAAGTCCAAGACGCCTTCAATAGAGCTGCAACACGGCCCAAAAGGGCCCCCAGACAGCCCCAAGAGGCCGCCGAGATGCCCCAAAAGGCCCCCAAGGCAGTCCCCGAAGGGACCAGACAGCGCAATAGCGCCCCCAAAACGCCCACACGGGGGTTCCGAGAGGTCCCCAAGAGGCCTCCGAGAGGCCCCCAAGAGGCCTCCCAGACGCCCCCGCGAGGACCCAAGAGGCCCCAAAGAGGCCCCCACGGGCCCCCCAAGAAGTTCCCAAAGTCCCGACAACGACTGGGTTGTACGTGCTCCGGACGTGCACCCCGCGAGGCGAGAGGAATCCACGTCCGGAGGTGACGCGCTGAGCGGCAGCGTTTTCTGGCGAACGCCTTGATGCAACGTATCCAATGTCTCCAAAGATTGCACACTTGCAAGACATTGTATTGTGTTACATTATCATGTCTCCCCCCTAACCCCCCCCAGGGGCTACGCCACATCCGTCGACCCAAGGTGGCCTCCCCCATTTGGGGCTCAAGAACGTACCAAAACCTTTGTAAAACCAATGATTCGGGATTTTGGGCCCTCCGGGAGGCCCAATAGGACCTCGCGACGGCTCCATATGGCTTCAAGACGGGCCAAGACGGCTCCAAGACGGTCCATGATGGCCCCAACAGGGCCCAAGAAACTCATAAGACGTCCCAAGAGGGCCCCAAGACGACCCCCAAGAGTGCCTCCAGAGGCCAAAACCAATAATTTGTCTAAACAGTTGTTTGGTGATTTTAGCGTCCTCGCCTTTCTCGACTCTCAGAAGCCCATGGCCGCCCAGGCAGCCGCCAAAATTGTCCCAAAAAGGCCTAAGAAGCCCCCAAGAGGGCCCCACAACGGCCCAGGAGGGCCCCAAGACGGCCCAAAAATACCCCCAAAGCGGTCCACAGAGCCCCTGATACGACCCAAGGGGACCCCAAAAGAACCCCAAAGCGGCCGCGAGAGGCCCCCAGGACGGCCTCCGAAAGGGCGGAACAGTGCAAAAACGCCCCAAGACGGCCCAAGACGCCCCCAAGAGGCCCCAAAGGCCCCCAAAAGGCCCCCAAGGGCCTCCCCCCCAAAAAACCCAAGAGGCCTCTAAGAAGTCCCCAAGAAGCCTCCAAGAGGCCTCAAAGAAGCCCCCACAAGGCCACACAACGACTGGGGTGTGTAATATGTATTTTTCCCTCCCTGGGCGAACTGCGGCGCAGCGCCAGCCAGGTGGAAATTGGTCACGGCGGCGCCCATGATTAGAGCCGGCGCTGGAAGGGAAAATGGGGAGGGAGTATGAAAAGGGGGGGGGGGGGGGGAAAGGCCCCAAAGAAGTTCCCAAGAGGCCCAAAGAAGCTCCTAAGAGGCTTCCAGGAGGCCCCCAAGAGGCCCCCAAGAGGCCCCGCGACGACGTGACTGTACGTGCTCCGGACGTGCACCCCGCGAAGCGAGAGGAATCCACGTCTGGAAGTGACGTGCCATTCTGCGGAGGCGATAATGCAACGTATCCTATGTATCCCATAATTGTATAATTGCTATTACATTATTATGTGTTCCCCCCTAATCCCCTGCAGGGGCTACGCCACATCAGTCGACCCAACCTGGCGACCCCCTTTTGGGCCCCCAGAACCTAACAAAACCTATGTAAAATCTATGATCTCGGCATCTTGGGCATCTTGGAGGGCAACGAGGGCGTCAGGACGGCTCAAGATGGCCTCTGTGCGGGCCAAGACGGCCCCAAGACGGCCCAAGATGGCCCCAAGGGGGCTCAACAAGGCCCCCAGAAGGCCCAAGACGGCCCCAAGAGGACCCCCAAGAGCGCCTCCAGAAGCCCAAATCTTTGATTGTCCTATTTTTTAATATATATATATATATATATATATATACATGTGTATATATATAGATATATATAAGATTTCAGCGTTCTGCACGTGAGCCGACGCGCCGCTCCCTGCGCGCAGTCTGGTGTTCCCTCCCCCATCCTTCCTCCTGCTTGCCTGAGCTGTGCACTGGTGCTTGCGTTTTTCCCTCGCGCCCTGCGGGGTGAATGAATGAATGAATGATAGATTTCAGCGTTCCCGCCTAATTCGACTCTCAGAAGTCCAGGACGGCTGAAACAGCCTCCGAAGTGGCCCCCAGACGGCCCAAGAAGCCCTCAAGAGGGCCCCAAACGGCCCAAGAGGGCCCCCAGACAGCCCCAAGAGGCCGCCGAGATGCCCCAAGAGGCCCCCAAGACGGTCCAAGAGTACCCCAAGACAGTCTCCGAAGGGACCAGACAGCGCAAGAGCGCCCCCAAGACGTCCACACGGGGCTCCGAGAGACCGCCAAGAGGCCTCCATGGAGGCCCCCAAGAGGCCTCCCAGACGCCCCCGCGAGGACCCAAGAGGCCCCAAAAAGGCCTCCAAAGGGCTCCCAAGACAACGACTGAACTGTACGTGTGCTCCGGACGTGCACCCCGCGAAGCGAGAGGAATCAACACTGGAAACTGAAACGTCTCGCACCAATCGTTCCGTGATGGGGGCGGGTGCAAATGCCCAAAAAGCTAGCTTGTGCCACTCAATACTTCGTGAGATCGGCGGGTTGCTAACACGCGTCCCGCGCACAGAACAATTGGTAGGACGCAGATGCCTCCCCGAACGTGAAATAGGAACGACGCGGCCTAGAGTACATTGAGATGCTCAGCGACGGACAGACAACGCATAAGCAACTAACTCAAGTATGTGTTTCTCTTACGTCCGCTGGACGAATAAGATCTGTTCAAGACCGAGCCCTGGAGCCTTCGCAGGCAAAGTCTTGACCGTTTGTATGAGCTCGATCACGCCTTGGCGAAGAGGGGGACTCTTGGCAGCCAAAAGAGCCACAGAAAAACGAAGGCCTAGATGTTCATACCAAAACTGGACTTGCGGTAGGCTCATCCCTCCCAGCTCCCCCATCTACTCTGACCCTCCACCCCCGACTCCCCCATCCTCCCACCCTTCCGCCCCACCTCCCCGCCCTCCCCATCCCTCATTCCTCATGCCTTGCCCCCCTCCTATGCCCACCCTCAACAAATACTCAATACGAACACTACTCTGCTCTTTCCCCGGATCCTGTTTGCGCATGTCCCGTTGTATCCCTCATGCGTATTGTTTTGAACGTATGGAAATTCGAACAACGATTGTTACTGTTGCCAAATGGTGGTGCTGCTGCAGCGTTGGCCTCATTTAAAGATCAGCATTTGGGCTCCGTCGCTGAGAATGGCGCTCGCCCAAGCGCGGGCCACAATTCATTAATAGAGTCTTTCCTCGTCGTTGTCGCCCCGCTTCTTACCCCTCCTCCGCATTCGTCTTGTCCTCCTGCTCCTCCCGCTGCTCCTCCTGCTCCTGTTGCTGCTGTTCCTCCTCGTCCTCCTCCTTCCACATCCTCATCCTTGTCCTCATGTTCATCCTGTTGCTCATCCGCCACCACCTCCTCCTCTTCCTCCTCCAATGTGCACAGCTCCATTCTTGTTTGTGCATAGTCAGATGTGGTCATTTAGAGGTAACAGGTCTGCCACGACATCCATCGGCGGATACACAAACATGCGCGCAATGGAAGGGATGGATTGAAAGGATAGGATGTCATGGCGCTAGTGCACGTAACTTGCCTCACCGTCTCTCCCCTTTGTCCCTCTTTCCGCTCCCCACCGCTCGCTGCGTCTCCTCTGTTTCCGTCTCCTCCTCTGTCATCATGTCCTCTCACTCGTCGTCCGCCTTCTCGTCAGCGTCCCCGTGGTCGCACTCCTCCGAGCCTGAGCGCAAGAGGCGGCGGCAGATGCGGCCGGGCCAAGCCTCCCAACAGACCTGCCAGAAGACCTCGCCGGAGGGCGCGGACCCAGCAGCCCGATGACGGTGCCTCCGGGGCGACGTGAAGGAAGAGGAGGGAGGAGGGAGCAGCAGAGAGCGACCACCCCAAACGACACCCCCACCCCCGACCAAGATGGGTGCGAGGCAGACTTGCCCAAGGGGGCTGCAGCGACTGGGGACGAGTTTCAGGGGAACGGCCCGCGCTCAACTGAGAGATAAGGTCCTAAGGATAGGAAGGGATCCGAGGTTTAATTTCACACGTTTTGCCTCGCTCGACCCTGGAGGTGCTTGGCCGCAGCACGGGAGCTGTGCGGCGGCAGGGGCTTGCGGCACTACGCTTTGGTGTCCGCGGGGTCTGCAGCACCTCCTCCAGGAGGGGTGGCTCGAAACCATACATGGGCACCTTTAGCGTCCGCCCACGATAACATGGCACGGAGGTGGGCCTGTTCCCTCCCGTGGACCATGCCTTCGAGGAGACCCACGATCTCCTGGGCAGCTGGCGCTAATGCGCCTTGGGCGCCCCCCCCGCGGGCACTCGCCAACTGGGTTTCGACCCACCCTGCCTGGTCGGAGGGCGCGTTCGGAATGCATTCTGCCCCGAGCTCACGCAACGCCTGGGCAACGGCGCGGGGGCATACTTCCCAAACTTGCGCCTGCGTGCGCACGAGGGCGCCTTGCTGGGCGACTACCCCGTTTGCAGAAAACGATCGTCCCAGCAGCGGGCAAGTATGAAACAGGCACACGTCTCTGTCCCCCTCGGCGGGCGCGGCGTCCGAGAACCTGATCCTGGTGTACAGGACCCCTTTTGTAATGGAGGAGGGACTGCACTCCCGTGCCTTGCCACAGACGGCTGTCCCAAGGGTGTTGCACCACTGCGAACCCCCAGTGGAGCACGCGCCACAACAGCCTTTCGACGGCCACCTGCCCATGCGCATTGGCGTCTGCCGCGTGCCAGCTGGCGTCGAGGCCGTCGCTCCCCTCCGTGCGCCTGCGGACCAGCGAGCTGGCCGCCTCCGCGGGGCGCGCGCGCTCGAGCGAACACCCCGGCACTGTCCAGTGTTCCCACGCCGTGAATTCATCATCGGCCTCCAGGCGTATATGCTTCCGGCCAGACTCCGACAGCACCTGGGAACCAGGCGGGCGGGACGGATCAAGGGGGAGGCAAATCTCAACGCCTGCGCAAACGACGGCCCCATTCCCTATTCAACCCTTCCCCTACTCAGCCCCCCCCCCCCCCAGTGTCTCTTCCCCTTTTCACCCCTCAATGACCTCTCCTCCCTCCGCCCTCCCGTCTCCCCCCCTCTCCCCTCTCTTTGTTCCTCCTTCCCCTTTTCTGCTCTTCCCTCCTGCCTCCCCACTCCCCTAGATGCAATCCGACGGCTTTGTCGTATTCGTCGTCGAAATCGCCGTCGCCGTCGCCGCCGCCGCCGTCGCCGTCGCCGTCACCTTCGCCGTCGCCGCCGTCGTCGTCGCCGTCGCCATCGTCGTTGTCGTCGCCGTCGCCGTCGTTGTCGCCGTTGTTGTCGTCGCCGTCGTCGTCGATCCTCGGTCGTCGCAGTCGCCGTCGTCTTTAGTGCCATCGGAAGGCAAATTTACGTTTATGGCGCGCAAGTGGTGTTTGTTAGCAAGGCCGACGTAGCGCTCGATAGGGGCAACAATCGATCTATCGATGCGCGAGCTCACCCTGAAATGGTTTAGTAGGTTTGCCAACCGAATGGTCAACGTCGATAGGTTTGCCCAATCTAGAGAAACAGCACAATCGCTTTCTGCAAGAAGAAATAGCAACTCCCATTGAAGCGTGGTGCTCCCCTGAATCTATAGCCGACCCCAAGAATGCTTCAAACGACCAGCGCGCAATCTACACTTAGGTGTTTCTGTATTTTTCGATCCTGGCAACTGCATTTGCTAATGTTTATCCTTTTCTGTTTAATATTGTGACAATGCGTGGGACAACTACATGACATGGAGCATCAACCAATGACAAAATCCATACACGTAAACGAAACAGACCGTCCGCATTCCTCCTCCGTCCTCCTCACAAATTGTCCCTCCCGCCGATCCTCTCTCCTCATCCTCCTCCTCCTCCTCCTCATCCTCCCCCTCCCCATCCCCCCTCCGCCCCACCTCCTCCAACCCCTCCCACCTCCTCCCCTGCCTCCTCCTCTCCAGGGCCAAGGACTGTAGATGCCAGGTCCCCAAGGACGGGCCCAGGAAGGGAAGTGTAGATCTTGAGGGTGTACAGCGGACGTGATGAGGAGGGCCAACCACGACGCGCCAATTCTACACTCCAAGACAGAAAGTGTAGATCTACACTCACGACAAGGGAGTGCAGAGGAAAACGAAACCTCTACACTCCAATACCGAAAGTGTAGAGCTTGAAAAAAGCCAGCTTCTACACTCCAGACAAGGAAGTGTAGAGGACGGAGAAACTTGTAAACTCCAAGACACAAAGTGTAGATCTACACTCCTCAACGGGAAGTGTAGATTTGACGCTTGTCCACCAGCGTCGTCCTCCTCGGTCGTCGTCCCCTCTCCCTCCTCCTCCTCCCTCCTCTCTCCTCCCGCTTTCCTCCTCCTCTCAGCGCCCCTCCACCCCCCCTCCTCCATCACCCCTCCCCTCCTACCCCCATGAGGCCCTGGGGGCTGACGGAACAAGAGCGATCACGGAGGGAGAGGGGATGCGTGAGAAGAGAGTGAGTGATAGCTAGAACTGCAGGGGAAGGAGTGGCGGGAGCGGGAGGTGGAAATAATGCACGGGGCATAAATAATGTAACGGAAAGAGAAAAGGGGGTATAGATGAGGGTCTGAGGATTTGATCCGTTTTTTGCTGTACAATGGTGTTTTGTCATTTGGGTCATCGAAATCGACGAAAACGAAAAAGTGTAGATCTTGGGCCCTTGGATTTGGGCGCTCCTATAGAGGGCCCCACCCCCAGGCAAACCCCGAGCTTCAAAACTCCCATACATTCGCCAACTCATTTTCGACAGCCCCAACCAGCTCTATAGGTTTTACCAATGCGACGAAATATGTTTTATACATGTGCGCGCAAATTTTCAGTCGAACTTAATCGAAATATATAGTCATGGTTATTGAGAAGATGCCTACTTAGGCTTAGGAGCGTGCTCTGCCACGCAAGCAACGGTGCACCACTGCGCGCCGAACAGGTGGTTGCGACGCCGGTTTGCGCAGCCCTGTCGGCTCGGCCTTGACCGCGTCGAAGCGAGGGGGAGGGAGGGGAAGGGAGGGGGGGGGGAGGGGGAGCAGAGGGGAGAGAAGAGGCAGCGCGCGTGACAGAAACGCCCTCGGCGTCTTTCTGAATTCCAAGACCTTTGCGCGCCAGGGCATCAGGATAGCCCAGGCGACGTTTGCCGCGCATGCGGCGTGGCACTGCCCGACCCCCCGAATCGACATCCAGGGCGGGCTGGGGCGGGGTCTGCGGGTGGTTCACTGTTCACTACTACCACTTCCCCTTCCCTTTGGCTTTCCCCTTCGCTGTGGCCTTGCCCGCGTCCGCGGGCCCTTTCCCCTGAACAGGGTTGCCCATGCCGGCCGTTTGGCTCTCCTCCCCGTTGTTCTCCCCGCGGGCGTTCTTCTGGCTGCCTTCGCCCATGCCCCCCTGGGCCCGTAGGGCCATCTGCTGCTGCGCCTTCGTTTCGCTGCGCACCATGTACTTCTCGCTCCTGCTGACGAGCGTGGTCGAATCGTCCTGGAGAAGCCCTAAAAAGCACGCGCGCTCCCACGACTGATCCACTACCGACTGCTCGATGGCTTTCAGGTGCTGGACTGCGAAATCCATGGGGTTGCCAACTTTTTTCTGGATGAGGAGATCCAGGATCTTGCACATGAGCGCCAATTCGCTGCGGTTGCGCTTGGACAAATTGTACTTCACCTCGAGAACTCTCAGAAAGTAAGCTGACGCAGTCGCCGGAGGCTCCTCCCTTTGGTCGTCGCTGTCGCTGCCAGCCTCTCCTCCAGGAGTCACCCTGTTCGCTATGGTCCACAGCGCACTCTTGGCGAGTCTCCCCGGGTGCTTGCGCGCGAAGCGCACTAGACGCTCCTGAAAGCAAACTGAGGTCGAGGCCGCGTGAAGACCGGCCGCGGCGCGAGTGGCCGCGGCGCGAGTGGCTGCGGCGCGACCGGCTGCGGCGCGACCGGCTGCGGCGCCTCTTGCCTCGGTCGCCCGCAGAGCCTCCTCGGCCCAAGGGAGCAGCGTCGGCCTCGCCCTCTGGACCACGCTGGCGCCATTCTCGCGGGGCTGCGACCGCCTCGCGGCGGCCCCGTGGCCCTCCGCCGGCGTCGTCGTCCGCGGCCGGCCCACGGCCCCCTCGCGCCGCGGCGGCCGCCTCGCGGCGGCCCCGGGGGGGGGCCCGCCAGCGTCGTCGTCGGCCAGCCTGCGGCCGCCCCTCGGCGCGGCGGTCGCCTCGCGGCGGCCCCGGGAGCGGCTCCGCGGGCGCAAGTCGGCCATCGGAGGCTCCTGCCGGTGCCTCCTGCCGCGTTCGCGGCCCTCGCCGGCCTCCAGTCGCGAGCGGAAGTCAGACAGCCTCTCCTTGACGCTGCACCTCCGGGGTTCGTCCGCGCTCCCCCTGCCCCGCAAAGCGCCGTCTGCGGCCCCCGCGCCGTTCGCGCGGCCAGTCGCGACCACTGCCGCGTCTCCGTCTCCGCGTGCTGTCGGCTGGCCGACGCCTGGCGGGTCGGGCCTGGCGGCCCCCGCAGAGTCGGTGATCCTATCAAGGGCAGGGATTTTCCCGATTTTATTTTCGATTATGTAGTTCCGGCTAAGGGGCCGCCACGATTGGATGTGGTTCGTTTCCAAGGTCTGGTCACGCTTCCGACATGACTCCCGCTGGACGCCGCACACGTGGTAGACCTCCTCTTGAGGTTTTTTTTGACAACATCCACCACGCGTGGTAGTCGTCCTCGGCGGCAAGAAACTTACTCTTGAGGTTATCACCCCCTGTCGGGGCGCAATCGGCCCAGGCAACCTTCAGGATGTACGTCCCTTGCGCCTCGCCGTTGTCGTTGTTGGCGGCCGCCTCCAGCAACTCGCCTCTCATAATTTCCTCCAACAAGTCCCCGTCCGGCAGGGTCCCCGCCTGGATCCATGGCCCGGCCATGTGGCCGGGAGAACCGTTGCACAAGTCCTCAATACAATGACCGACGCGGCTATGCAAAACTCAATTACCGGCTCGAGTCCCAAATGCTATGGCTCTGACTGCTGCTACCCGCTTCTTCCCATGCACGCACGCTCAGTAGCCAGCACAACTTGCTGCGAAGAGAACGTACCCCCATAGATTCCCAAAGAGTGGTTTGCTTGCTGCTTCGTACTGCGCACGCTCCGCAGCCAATGTTGAAACACCTGTATGCCGTGACACAGAGGACACCTGTATGCCGTGACACAGAGGAGAAAGTAAGCACATGTGAGTAGCACGTACCCCCTTTAAAATCCGTGTGGTGAGGACACTTGCTTGTTGTTTCGTACTGCGCACGCTCCGTACCCTCCTGATGCTATCGCTCCTCCCTCCACGGCGGACTTCGGCCAAGTGTGAACAACCGGGCCACCTGCTCACGCGAACAGCCCTCTAATTTCTGTTGCTTGAGGCACCTCGTCCTCAGGATCCCCATCCCTCAGGGACCCATCTTTGAACCACCGACCGATGGCGGCCCCTCCCCCGTACGCCAGGGATGCCCGCGGGTGCCGCCACAGGGGGGAGGGAGGGGTTCTCCCAGGGCCACGGAGGACCGAGGCCCGGAATTCCGACCCCGCGAGCTCGTCGCGACGTGAGCCCCTGGGCCTGTCGACCTCATCCCCCATCGGGAAAGAAGGTGGTGCTGGACGCACTGCGGCAGTGCCGGGGACGCACTGGGGGGAGGAGCGCTAGGAGGGGGAGGGGGGGAGCATGACGCGCGTTATGGCCAAGAGGGTGAAACAACAACACTCTCGTGGCAAGGTCGCTTCTCCTTCCCCGAGAACTCAAGACGCCTGTCTCGTCTGTTGGGGCGACGCGCAGCAGTATCTGGAGGGAATCCCCGCGGAGGTCTCCCGGCCCCAGCAGGCCTCTGGAGGCCCCACGCAGGGTCGAGCACCTCCCAAGACCCCAACCCATCATCCTCGAGCCTCGGTCCTCGATCCAGGATCGAAGACAGCGAGGATCCACGGTCCAGCATCGAAGACGCTGGATCGAAGACCCGTGATCGAAGCCCTGGGACCAAGCGCCCTGGATCGAAGACTAGAGGCCTCCCAATTGGGGTCCGAGTTGATGGGGTCCAGGGATCACGCCGTATCGCCGATGCATCGGCGACGCCGGCGTGGAGAAAATCGGGCTCCACATCGAACCGCGCGGGTGCACCGGCGATGCGGCGCGATCCTCCGACCCCACCTGCTCGGACCCCCTCTAAGAATCCTGGGAGATCCGTGATCGAAGCCCTGGGACCGAAGGCCCGGGGTCGAAGATCCCGGGATCGCCCGCGCTCCCCCCCCCTCTACGGAGGCTGCCGCCTCGGGGTGGCTGCCGGGACCGAAGGCCCGGGGCCGAAGATCCCGGGATCGCCCGCGCTCACCCCCCCCCCTCTACGGAGGCTGCCGCCTCGGGGTGGCTGCCGCGCGCCCCCACCGCAGAGCGGCGCGGCGTCGGCGGGCGGGGCCTGGAGGGCTTCGGCACTCTCCTCCAGGCGGGGCCAGGCGCTGTTGCGTCGCTCGGCGCACGAGGGTGGGGGTCAGTCACGGCAAATCCAAGGAGGGAGAGAGAAAGAGAGAGAGAGAGATATGGAAAAGGTATGAGAAGGAAAACGAGGAACGAGGAGGAGTGAGGGAGGAGGTGGAAAGAGTATGGGAGGATGGCAAGGGATGAGGGACGAAGAGGGAAAAGGAGGACATGTCCCAACTATCCTGTGGTGCTGGGTCCCCCTTTTGAGTCGGCAGCTTCCCATGTCCTTCTTCCTCCGTCCTTCCTCACCCCCATCGTTCCTCCTCCCTCCTTCGTTATCGCATGTCTCTGCTTCAGCACGCCCCTCACATGCTTCGTAGCCCCTTAGGGAGCTCCACCGAAGCCCTCAGCGGCAAAGTCCGCATGCGTGCCCACACAGATTTCGGTATATCCCTGACACGATTCCTGGCCCCGTAGAGCCCTCCACCGAAAGCCTCAATGGCAGGATCCGCATGCGTGCCCACGCCCATTTCGGCACCTCCTTCACACGTTTCGCGGTCCCATAGGGTGCGCCACCGAAGGCCCAGTGGCAGGCAGGGTCCGCATGCGTGCACACTCCCATTTCGGCACACGACCCAACAGGGACTTGAAGGCCCTAGTGGCAGGGTCCGCATGCGTGCACACGTCTATTTCGGCACACCCCTCACACATGTCGTGGCCCCACAGGGAGCTCCACCGAAGGCCCCAATGGCAGGGGCCGCATGCATAAACACGCCCATTCCTGAGCACCACTCACACGCTTCATGGCCCCACCACAGTGCTACACCGGAGGCCCCAATGGCAAGGTCTGCATGTGCGCGCACACCAAATTCGGCAAACCGCTCACACGTTTCGTGATCCAATAGGGCGTTCCACCGAAGCCCAGCGGCAAGGTCAGCATGCGTGCACACGCCCATTTCGGCACACCCCTCACACAAGTTCCGTGGCCCTACAGGGAGTCACACCGAGGCCCCAGTGGCAAGGTCCGCATGCGTGCTCACGCCTATTTCAGCTCACCTCTCACACGTTTCGTGGCCCCTTAGGTGGCTCCTCAAGGAGCTCCACCGACGGCCTCCACGGCAGGATCCGCATCCGTGCCCACTCCCATTTCGGCACACCCTGGAGCTCCCCTCCTTCGTCCCGCCTGCCTTGCGATATTCAGGCCTGCATGTGGTTGGGTCCTTCGCCGAGATATGTCTACCTATGGAAGCACGCTCCAGAACCATCCGTGAATCCGCGCAATCTATCCTCCACGTCCCGTCTTCGCATCACTTATACATCGTCTTCCCCATGATCGTTTTCGACGTCGTCGTCCTCCTCTTCCTTCTTCGCACTACTCTCCTCGTACGTAGTCCTCCTGCCTGCCCTTCCCCTCGTCATCCTTCTCATGTTGGTCGCCCTTGTCGTCCTCCGCCGCGCCTCGCCCAATTCGATGTCGTCGTCGCTCTCCTCTTCCTCTTCCTCCTCCTCCTCCTCCTCCTCCTCCTCCTCCTCCTGCTCATCCTGCTCATCCTCATCCTCCTTCTTGCCCTCCTCCTCCTCATGATCCTCCTCCTCCTCCTGATGCCTCTCCATGGTCTCCTCCTCCGCCTCCCACTCAGACTCAGACTGGTGGCAGTGTGAGGACAATCTTCTTTGACGTTGACCTCCTCCTCCACCATCCTCCTCCTCCTCCTCCTCCTCCCCCTCCCACTCCTCCTCCTCCTTCTCCTCCTCCTCCTACCATTCTCCTTCTACTCCTCCCTCTTCCAAACCCTCCCATTCCTCCTCGCTGTTCCTGCACATCATCTTCCTCGACAGTCGTCCTGAACCTCCTCCTCGTCTTCATTCTCTTCGTTTTTCCTGCACATCATCGTCCTCTCCGTCCTTCTCCTCCACCCCGTCGTCGCCCTCTCCTCCTCCTCCTCCTCCTCCTCCTCCTCCTCCTCCTCCTCCTCCTCCTCCTCCTCCTCCCCTGCGACCATCCTCGCACGTGCCGCGCGAGTCCATGCTGGGCGACGGCCCGAGCGAACTCCGCGCGGCCACTGCCTCCTCGGGCGCCTGCCAGCCGGCCCAAAAAGCGAACGGCAATGGCCCAAACCCACACGGCACGGGGGGCAAGATGACCCAGGGTCGACTAGGAAAATCGAATCGGCTGTCGAAATTCATCGAATCGGTAGAAAACGGCAGGCAGACCAGAAGCCATCGGAAACTACGCCCGGCGGCTCGAGTCGAGGCCTGTGTAAGGAAACCCGAACCGAAGTCGGATTTCAGAATTCGGCCCATACACTGCACAGGGGGGGGGGTCAGGGGGGGTCAGGCGACCGCTGTTCTCTTCCTTCTCATGCCTTCTGCCTCCTCCTGTTGCTGCTCCTCTCTCCTCCATCCCAGCCTCCCCCTGAGAACCCATGGGCATTAGCCCCATCCCACTCCCTCCTCGAAGATCTCTGCCGAATTTCGGTCACCCGGGCCTTTCCGCCACTGTCCGCCTCCACGCCCTCCGAGCTCGCGTTCGAGAGCGCACCAGGGGCCCCGGCATCAGCAGCCGCTGCCACAAAGGCCGCCAAGCTGCTCTCTGCGTCCGTGGCCTGTTGGTCCACGTCAGAGGGCGCGCCGGGATGCCGTGATTCAGCAGCTGCTGCCACAAAGGCCGCCCACCGAGCGCCGTCTGGCTGTCCGGCGCCCTCCCTGGCTCGCGGCGGCTCGGCGACCGCTGGCGCGCAGTCATGGTGGCCCTCTGCTCCCTCTTCTGTCTCACTGCCCGTGCCAGGGAGGTTGATCACCTGGGCGAATACTCTCGCTGAGGGTGCCTCGTGGCTGCTCCCGCCAGGAGGCGCGCTGTGGATCTGATGGCAGTCTGCAGCCGCTGCGAGCGATCGTGTCTGCTGCGACGCGATGTCCTCTGGCGGCCAAGACTAATTCAAGGCAGGGGGGTGCGGAGGGCGAAGAGGCGGCCAAACGTCAAGATGTCAGGATACGATCCAATGTGGATTGGGATGGCCATCTCCCCCTGATCCGCTTGTTCCTCCCTGCTTCCTCTCGTCCTCCTCTTCATTCCGTGGTGCCGTCCTGCATTTCCTGCTTGACGGCAGCGCGAGAAGCCTCCCTCTCCGCGCTGTCGCCGCCTGAGTCGAAGGAGCAGGGATGAGGATGAGGACGGATGGGGAGAGGCGGTGATGAGGAAGAGGTGGGACGTGCAGGAGCGAAGGGGGAGCAGCCCCAGCCTGTCACGCGTCGGGGGCTCGCGGATGTGCTGAGGCTGTCCGCCAGGCTGCTGCCGCCGCCGCTGCTGCTGCTGACCTGCCGCGAGGAGTCATCCGCGACGTCTGGGTCCGGGGACTCCTGCGGGCCACTCCTCCCTTGCCCACACTGCTCCTCCTCCTCCCTCTTCCTCCTCTCAAACGCTCTCTTCCTCCACCTCGACCTTCTCCCCATCGACTTCTCGCGGCCTTCCTCCTCCTCCTGCCTTTGACAGAAGGGGGGAGGTGGAGGGAGGACAGGGGAAGGAGGAAAGCATGAGGAAGAGGAGGAGGAGGAGGAGGGAGGAGGAGGAGGGAGGAGGGAGGAGGAAGAATCGACAACGTGAGGGGATAAGGGGAGGATGAGGAGGGGGGAACTATAGGAGAGAGGAGAAAGGAGCAGCGGCAGGATCGGGGGGGCGAAGAGGAGGATGATGGGGCGGCATGGCCCTGTTGAAAAAAGGCGTCGTGCACCACTAGTCTTAATTAAAACAGACCCTCGGGCTCCTGTTCTCGTTGGCCTCTGGCCTCTACCGCGTGGGACCCCAGGGGCCAGGCGGGAGCCAGCGTGAGCCCACGGGAGGCGAGCACATGAAAGGGGATGGGCCTGCTGACGCCCGTCTCGGCTGGGCCCTCGGGGCCCTCGTCGTCTGGTTGCGCGCGGGGCCCTCAGAGTATCCCGCCCAAAAGTTCATTCATCTGGTCCGGGGGGGAGGGGGGGAGCGAATGCACCGAAGACGCCTGTCCCGTTCTTGAAATGGTGTGTCACTGAAACAGGGTTCCCAACGATTCGTCGGAGCACTGGCAACCGGGACACGCGGGCAACCATCAGAGAGGCCTCGTCCGTGATTCTCAAAGGCATGCTTCCTGGCCTCTTCCGTCGGGTGGGCAATGGGTGCCACGAAGATGAAGTACCCGTCGACGCGCCACAGAAGAGGGCCAACAGCGAGCCGATGGGCTTGCGAACGAGCAGCTGCCACGGCGACCGCCGAGGCAACACGACGACGCGCCACCCTGCCCGGGGCCCTTGAGGGGACTTTCGTTCCACCCACTGGGCTCGGTGGCTGCGGCGGCGGCCGAGGGACGTCCTCCGACGCCACCGTGCTGGTGGCTGCCGCCTCCTCCACCATGGGCGGGACCTGCTACACGCAAGCTTTGGTGGGCTCCATGTGGGGCTGCCTCGCCGTTGCCACTGGGCTGGTCCAAGTCGCGCTCCTGGTCCTTGTAGATGTCGCCGCGTGCGGCTGGGAACTTGCCCAGGTCGATGATCCTGAAGACATCCACGCGTGTGCCTTGATCTTGACGATCTGGACTCCTTCGAGCTTGTGCGACAACCCAGCGTCGAAGTGAACCCTCTGCACCTGGGGCCCAACCGCAATTTGCGGCTCTATGGCACAGCAAACCACTGCCAAGCAATCTCCGTGATACTTGTAGCCGCCACCTGCGACCTTGTCCGTCAACATCTTGACCGCGTTGTCTTTTCCGTTTTCCTGGTCCAGATGCACCGCGCGCCATGCAGCTGCGGAGGATGAGGGGAGGGAAAGGAAGGGGAGGAGGGAAAAGGGGGATGGAGGGAGAAAGGAAGATCGGCAGCGGGAGGGCATCTCTCCTCCTGCTGCACCTCCCTCCTCCTCCTCCTCCTCCTCCTTCTCCTCCGCCGCTTGCGGCCGCGAGCTCCAAGACTGGTGTGCGGCATGGCGACTCCTCCAGCAGCTCCTCTTCCGCATCCTGAGGGGGAGCGGCGAACATCCTATCCCAACTGAAACCCTTTTCCTCCTCTAGCTTCTGAAGCGGAAGGGTCGGGAGAGAGGCGGAGAAGGGAGAAGGCACGGAAGACAAAAGTGACATAACGAGAGAGATAGAGCGATAAAGATAGAGAGGAGGAATGGATGGGGAAAGGAGCGTGGCAAGGGAGGGAGAAGACGGAAGAGAGTTAGTGAAACGAGGAGACGGGGAACAGACGACGGATATATCGGGAGGAGGGAGATGGAGGGGCAGGGAAGAAGGATGGAGGGAGGGCGGCGGCATGGGATTGACCGGCCACAAATGGGCAAATAGCGATGGTAATGATGCCCAATAGCAGATTCAACCCGATGCTAGCATGGACCCCGCAAGCGCCGACCCTTCGTCGTCGTCGTCGTAATCGCCATTACTGGGTCCTCCTCCGCCTGCGCACCAGCCACAGCGACACCGAACCAAAACCTCAAGCGCACCAGTCAAAGCGAAACCACATCGAACTTCAGCAATATCTTAGTTGACTCGAATGAGAGCCCCTTCTTTTTTATCCCTGTTCCCCAGGAGGGTTCCAAAGGCAGGGAAGAGGAGGAGTCCCCAAGGGGGTCCTGGGTCAGACTACCAAGCCCCAAGACAGCGTGCGCAGAAACTCTGTTTTTTGACATGTGTTACCCAACCATCCTGTGGTGTTGGGTCCTCGTATCAAGTCCGCTTCGCCCCGCGTCTTCCCCACCTCCCGTCTGCACGCAATCCCTACCACCCCTCCTCTGGATCACGTCCAGAACGACCCATTCCCAATGTATCCGACGTCGTGACGCAACGCAACTCCCAAGAGGTCTGGACTGGACCCCTTCCAGGGGACCCGCTTTTCATCCCGAGTCTGTTCTGTGACGGCCGTCCCAGGGCCCCGTAAGGGCCGTCCTCCTCGCCCGGAGCGCCACCCGCCCAGCACGGCACCGACACCCTCGCGCCTCGGTCCCCTGCATCTCCGGCAAGGCCTCCAGCCCCAGCTGCTGCCTCGGCAGCGTCGGGGAGATGAGTCGGCAGGCAGCTCCCGCCCAGGTAAGGGCCCCTCTGGAGAAGGGAGGGAGGGAGGGGGAGGGATGGGAGGGGAAGGGAGAGGGAATGGGGAGGGACCAGGGAGGGAAGGGGAAGGAAGGAAGGAGGGAGGGGACGGGCGGGGGGCAGCTCGTCCATCTAAACATTTTGATGGGGCTTGCGGTGCGAGGGAACACTCCTCTCGAGAGATCACTCTTCTGCAGCCCTTCTGGGAGGCCGTCTCAGCGATTTGAGTAGTTGCTCGCAGAAACTGCGCTCATTACAACCAACGGCTGGATGGACGAGGGGGGCGGGAATGGAAAGTGGTATAGTCAAGTCGTTCGGCGAAAACAATTGTGGGCCATGCCACCACTGGGACGAATTTAGCGGCACACACACACCGAGTATGTACTGCGACCAAGCTGGACATGCAGACGGGCACGATAGTCGATCCCCGAAGCTTTCATCCAAGCATCCCGCATGGAAGTGGGTCATCAGAAAAACAACAAGCGGCATCAACATACATGTTTCGAGGTCCGCGCGGATTTGTTGAACTGGCGTTGGACCCCCTTCCCGGCGCGCGCAACGCCTCAGGGGCGGCGCTGGAGGCACCGCCAGGGGGCTCCAACGCCGATCCGAGAAATCCGTGCGGACCTCCGAGAACTCATGCCGTTTGTTGTTCCCCGAATAATGCACACCCCAACCTGCGTGCCACGAGCATTGGCGATGCATCGGCGACGTCAGCGATGCATCGGGTCCATCGGCGTGGAAAAACACGGGCTCTACATCGAGACGCGTCGGCGATGCATCGGAGATGCGGTACAATCCACTGACCTCATGTACTCGGACCCCGTCTTGGAGGCCTAGAAGAAACGATCCCGGAGCGTTCACCCAAGCATCCCGCATCAAAATGGGTACGGCAAGTCCGTGTCGTGACGACCCTGGCATCGGTTTCTGACGGCATTGATTTCTGACACCGTGTGGGTCGTTCAGTCTTGAACGATCGGCAGCATTCCGATCGCCAGATCGTTCCATGTCGGCGGATTCTGGGTCGTCGGCGGCGTTCGACCTGGACCGCCCGCGGCGGGGTCGCTGCTGCGTCGGCAAGACACGAGCCTGTCGCAGCGCACCAACCCACTACATGCCACGAACAAACAAAGACACAAACCTCCTTCTGCCCAAAGGCAGCCGCAAGGGCGCCGCCGGCTCATGGGCCTCGCGGGCGGTCGATGTCAGGGCGAGAGAGAAAGAGCCCGGGCCTCCTCCCGCCTCGCTCCTCGCCCGCGCGCTGCTCCCCGTGCTCTGTGTCCCCCCCTACGCCTGCTCCTTTTCCTCTTTTCTCCGTTTCCTTGTCCTCCTCCATCCCTGATTATTTTGTCAGAAAGTCCCCCCTGTCACCCGAGGCCAATCGAAAGGGCGGGCCGGGCGTTTCGTTTGAGAATTCCTCACCACCCGTCGTCCTCAAACTTGACATTCGCAACCATTTTACTGATGGAGGCCAGCCCGCGTTCAAAATGTGGTTATCGCTGTAGCGCCGCGTGCATTCGTCTTAAAGCAAGTGCAAGAGCTTCACGGATGGAAGGCGGCACGCTTTTAAAATGCGGTTCGCGCCTTAACGCAGCTCGCACACGCCCGAAACAATTGCCAGAACTCCACGGATAGAGGGCGATTCCTTTTCAAAAGGTAGCTATCGCCTGAGCGCCGCGCACACTCGTCTTACGCATGTGCAACCGTTTCCAAGAATCTCCGGATAAACGTCCCAAATATTTCGTTTTGGCACGATGTCGGAACGTCAGAGCGCAACAGGCACGGTGATTCGCGGTGTTGAAGTCCGAGAAACGGTGTTTTGGCGCGAAGTCAGGGTCGCAGAAACACTATAGGGACGTTGATTCGCGGCGTTGACGTCCCAGGATTGGTCGTCTGGCACCGTTCATGATTTTCGAGCTCTCTTCTTTTTCCAACGGGACACTTCCCTCAATAAAAAACGAAGGGAGCACTGTTACCGCCGATCATGGCCTCCACGGTCCGCTCCGTGAAGAACTTGTTCTAACAGCCTGGCTCCTGCGGTGCTCGTGATTGCAAAAAGCAAACGCCCTAGAGCCCATCTCCACGCAACCGCGGATTCCTGCTCCGCCCGCAGGCGCCCCGAAATACAGCCGCCAGGGCTCCCCCACCACGCGGCGTAAATCTTCGATGAGCTCGACGTCGCTGTCGCGGGGGAACCACGGCACTTCCGTGCCCGAAAACTGTTTGCATAGCTTCCGCTCCTTGATGGCTGCAATAACGAAGGCCTTCTCTGAGTGCGGCGCAGCTGTTGCAGCCTCCGCGCTCTCGCCCTCGCGCGGCGGGGGCGCCTGCGCGCGGTCGCCGAAGCCTGCACTTCCGAGAAGCACGCGCCGATCATCGCGCGCGTGCTGGCCCCCGGAACCTCGCGGGGCACGAGGGCGCTGCGCCTCTGCGGGAGGACAGGCGCATTCCGCGCCACTTGTTCGAACGCGGGGGCTGCCTGTATCCAAGTGCACCCTCGCCCTGGGAAGGTGAATCGGCTGGCGGCCCTGGTGGCAAAGGAACATATGTTCGTGGCTGCGCGAACTCGCGAGTCCTCGCTGCCTCTTCAAATGTCAGTACTGGTGCATCTACTCTGTCTTGTAAAAAAGGTGGAACTTCTTGAAATGGAAGAGGTTCTGGGCCAAGATCTTCTTCAGCATCTGAATCCATGACTCCGCGCGGCCCTGGGGCGTCCGCGAAGCGCCCCGCCCGGGGGGCGCCGGAGGCGCGAGGGACCTGACGCAGCGTTCGACATCGCCCGGGCTCAGCGCAGGCCCGCGGCGCGCGAGATCCCCCCCTTGAAGATGCTGCGCAGCCTCGCGTATTTTACATCGTAGAACTCCATTACTGTTGCAACGTCTGCGGGGTTCCCGCGTAAACGGGCGCTCGCAACAGACGCGCGGGCCACCGCCTGCGCGCCCTCCACAGCGGGCAGCGCCGCCCGCGCCTCCAGCTCCTTTCTGCGCGCTGCCTCGCGCGCCAGCCCAACGGCCGAAGCGTCGCAGTGCGCGACCTCGCTTTTCTTCTTGTCCTCGGCAACCAGCTCCTGGGCCCTGCGCCGCCCGCCGTTGCGGCCGCTATTGCGCCGTCAGCTGTTGCGGCCTCTGCGGCAGCCCCAGGGGTTCCCGCGTGGGAATCGCATCGCATGCGATCGGTCGCGAGAGCGCGCCCTTGATCTCCGGCACGCGCAGGCCCCGGGCAAAGCTCGAGGAAGCGCTTCATCGCCAGCCGCCGCGCCTCGGTCGGCAGGGCCCGCTGCCGGGCGCGGTCGCGGTTGGGCCCCGTCGGCCTGCAGGGGAAACTTCATCGGGCTGTCGAAGACAGACCTGGCCGCCTGGGGCGAGCTCGCCATTCTGGCGGGCCCCGCGCGCGATCGCGTCGCCGTTGCAGCCGGCTCCAAAGAGCTCGGGGCACCGACGCAGACAAGGACGCCACGTGAGCCCTCGCCCAGAAGATTTCCGAGAACGCCTCGCCCAGCTCTTCGGCGCTGCACGGGCCCGTCTGCTCCTTGCGCCGCATCTGCGCATGCGGGGGCTCCGCGGCGCAGGCCGGCGAGGCGGCGTCTGCCCTCTGAGCGATCAGGGCGAGCTCCGCGGGCCGATCCAGCAGATTGCTCCGCCCCCGGCGGGCCGCGGCCGCCTCTGCGAGCTCTGGCGCTGCCGGGGATTTTTGAGTTTCGCTCCAATTCGCCGCGCGCCCCCCTGCAGCGTTCGCGTCGAGGCTGGGGAACAGGCCTCGGCCTCGGCGAACATCCGTCTGCAACCGCGCTCGCGCCATCTCCGGCGCGGGCCCCCTGGCCCCAGTCGCGCAGGCCCGCGCGAGGACTGCCGCGCGGGCCACGACGAAGATGGCGCTCGAGTTCTCGCGCCCGACGAAGTCCCGCGGGCGCTCCGCGCGCGCCGCCATGTCCACGGCCCGCGCGAGCTTATTCTCCTCGAGCTCTGCGGCCGAGCTTTCCTTGATGCGATCGAAATTCATGGGCCAACCAACAAACACATTCTCGAGCGCTGTCGAGGGCCCGCGCGCAGCCCCCTTATCTCAAGACGCGCCAGCAAGGCTGCGCTCGCCGCGACGTCCGCGCCCGACAGCTCAATCTTGCCGATGCCCAGGGCCGCGTAAGAGCTGTCGACCGCGATGGGGATCTCGAAGCCCTTCTCGACCGCGCCCGGGGCGCCTCGCGCCCCCCCCCCCCGGCGCCCGCCAAAATCTCCGCGGCCCGCCGCTGAAGAGCACCCCGGGCCCCAACGCAGTCAGCGGCCCTCCGAGTCGGGCGCCGTGGCAGCGGGCCCGCCCGCCAGGCTGGCCCCGCAGAAACGCGCCCGAAACCGCGTTCTCGACCTCGGCCAGCGGGCCCCCCCCTCCAGAAACGCGTTGTCGACGGGCCCTGTCCACGCCAAGTTCGCGCGGGCGTCCCCGCGCTCGCCCATTTCCTGCGCGCGTTCCACGATCCCGCTGAGCTTCTCCTGGATGGGCGTCTGCGCCGTTCCAGCCTGGGCCCCGCGGCCATCCTTCTTCACTTTCTTGGTATCCTTCCTTTCGTCGGGCCCCTTCTCGCCCCTGTCCCGGGCGCGCGCTGGGGCGGCGCGCAGCGACGTCGGGCGCGCGGCGTCGGGCCAGAAACCAGTCGGGCGTTTCTGCGGGGCCTGGCCCGCCGAAGCGCCGAGCCCACGCAGCGGGCGCCCAGCAGCCCCGAAGACACGAGCGGGGGCCGGCGCGAATGAGGCGGCAGGGCGACCAGCGGGGGGACAAGCGACGACGCAGGTTCCAGCGCCAATCTGCGTTCGGACTTGGAGGTTCGAACGAAATGCGAGGCGGTGCGACCTCGAACCAAGCGGCGCGAATTCGCGCCGCGCGCGAGCCTCGAAGCTCGAGCGAGAGGATGGGCCGCGGGATCTGGAAAAGAAGGGCGCGGTCATGCTGCAGGCGCCCACGGGGGTGATCATGGTGGCGGCGACAACGACGACGACGACGTTGATGACGATTACGATGTCGATTTTGGCGATGGTGCTGGTGGCGGAGATGCTGATGGCGATGCTGATAATTACGACGTCGACGATGGTTCGGCAAGAGAAAGCCGAGTTCGAACGCAAATTGCGTTCCAACTTCGTTCAAATAATCTTCCAGGTCGAACTTGGCAGAACGACCGCAGTTCGAACCGCCAGGTCTGAACCGCATTCCCGTTCTGTTCGAACTTGGCGATTCGGGCGCGGATCGAACTCGAGTCGAATTCGAACCGCCACGTTCAAACGCACGCTTGCGCTCGAACGCAACAGGACAACAACTTCCCCCGCTGGGGGGCGCCCCTGCCCCCCCCCCCCCCCGAAGGGGGCCCGGGAGGGCGCCCCGCCGCCGGAGCGTCGATTCCTCCGCGGCGAGTCCCCCCCCCCCCGGGGGGGCCCGGCAGGGTCTTAATCGCCGCGGGGGAGGGGGGAAAATTTTCCTGCAGTAAGCCGCCCCCCTGCAACGAACCGGATCGAAGTCGAAAGGCGCGAGAGGAGAGGGGGGCGGGCAAAGGGGGGGCGGGGTGGGGGGGCGCGCGGAGCAGGAGGGGGCGGGCGAGCAGGAGGGAAAGCGGGGGCTGCAGCTGCTGCGGCGACTGCTACCCCGCCGCAGTCAGCGCCTCTGCTTCTTCGCGGCCCCGGAGCCCCAACAAACCCTGCCACGATTTTGACCTCACTTTTTTCATGAAAGCATCGTTTTCTATAAAACACTTCGCGACCCCAAATCAGAGGCGATGACGCGGGCACGGTCGGAAGAAACATCACGGGAGAGATGGGCGCAGCAAGGGTTGGCGGAGAAAGGGGGAGCGACGCTGACCGCCACGAGGTGGGGCCGAGGAGGTCAGATAAAATTCTGGCGAGCTCCTAAAAGGAACGGACGATTTGCACACGCCCTGGGGTCAACGCCCTAAGCAACGAAATTAAACGCACCTTAACACAGCCGCCGCGCACATAAATTATTCGATTTAAACAAATCGAATCATCGAGTCGAGCCTGCGTGGGTGACTGGACCTGCAGTTTCTCCTAACTGGTTTCGCTGCTTGCTTGAAGCTATACAGATTTTGTTTTGGCATGTCCACGCAGTATGCAAAGAGCACGGGCAAAACGGAAGACGACGAGGGCGATCGCCAGCCAGGAGCGCCCCCACCACGGGAATTGCCTGCACAT